GGACCCATTAAAAAAAAATAGAAGCATTAGCTATAGCTTTAAGAACCAAATGCCCTCTGAGACCTCAGTGGCTACGGCTAGGTAATGACAACAGTATTACCAACCTTCAAGCCTTGGTTTCTCTCAGTAAAAGGCTGGGGGAAGGGCCCTTTCCAGGGCTGTTTGGGCCTTCAAGAGAGGACTTATAACTCTGCCACAGGGAATGGTCTAGACACTTACTTTTGTTTTTGGAAAAATGAAAACTGCAACTAGTACATTGTTGCGATAGCTTGTCATATTTTAATCTTATATCACTCTAGCAATTCTTGAATTTTGTTTTTAAGTCTGAAAAAGCCTGCTCGTATATATGGGGGAAATGGTGCCCATAGGAGATGAAGCAAGGAAAATGGTGTTGCCATGTGGGCAGGGACTGCAAAAATGCACACCTTCCTGTCCACGCAGCATCTAAGGAAACATTGGCCGCTACTTTGTGCAAAAGATCCCGCTAACTCAGATTTTGGAAAGGTCTCAGGGGAGCATGGTAAAACATGGAGCAGAGGATGGCACTTTGTGGATGCTTTTCAAAACAACTCTAGAGGGCTCTTCTGCATTCTCATTTTTGTCACTCGTTTGTCCCTGTTGCTTTGGGTTATCCCCCCCCCCTTTTCCACATGTGTTTTGCTCCCTCTGGGATCACCTATGTGGAAACGGCCCTGGTAATTGATAAGTGCGGCAGGAAGATATTGGCCTTCCTCTGTTATTCGTTATCACTATCAGTATCTGGTGTTCCAGGGTATACCATCCTTTTACATGGCATTTCTATTTATCTGTTATAGTTTATCATTGTTAGTATACGGTTCCTTCACATAATTGCCTATTTAAAAAAAAAAAAACTCTCTGGGAGCCAAATTAAACAAGAGGTCTGCAAAGCAAAAGAATGCACACAGGAGACTTTGCCCTCACACAGGCTGCTACCTATGCAAAAGAGCTATGCATGCTCAGTCAGTACCCCGGGGGTCTATAGCCTGGGAGGTGTTGCTCTAGCATGCTAATTAAGCACAATGGCTTTGGACAAGGTAGCAGCCCAGATTAAACAAGAAGGTAGGTGTGCGAGCACAAAATCCCATGAGTGAGTTCTTTTACCATCCCAGCTTCACATTTATGCCAGGCCTTAGGTGGTAATGATCACCACATCAGGCAGCAGTGAATTCCATACATTGATTATTTAATGTGTGACAAAGGGCTTTGAGAGACTTGATTCTAGTACCAAATGCCTCCATTGGGTGACTTCCATGTCTAGTATTATGGGTGGGGACAGACAGGGGGAGATGCAATGTCCCTTGTAACACTTCCTGTTGCTTCTCACTTTACAGATGTTCTCTTTTTATTGTGTGGAACTTGACTACAGTTACCACTATACAACTGCTTTAAGCAGCTGTAGAAATCTACCGTGGGTATTTATTTTTTGCGGGTGGTCAGGAAGGTATTTATCCTGTAGCAGGGCTGGGAGGATGCCAGGCACCTGGCTGTGCAAAAATTGGCTCCTGTGAATTAGCAGTGTCTGCTGCAGTGGCTCAGTGGTTAAGATGCTGAACTGCAGACTGGAAGTTCTGCAGTTCGAGACCTGAGTGCCGCATGACGGAGTGAGCTCCCATCTCTGGTCCCAGCTCCTGCCAACCTAGCAGTTCGAAAGCAAGAAACTGCAAGTAGATAAATAGGTACCGCTTCGGTGGGAAGGTAACAGCATTCTATGCGCCTTGGCGTCTAGTCATGCCAGCCGCATGACCACAGAGACATCTTTGGACAGTGCTGGCTTTTTGGCTTGGAAATGGAGATGAGCACTGCCCCCTAGAGTCAGATTTGACTAGCTTTTGAGCAAGGAAAGCCTTTACCTTTTACCTTCTCAGAGAAGGCTGAAGTTGGTTCATAGTTCCTTACTTGTGGCTTATTTATGAATCCAACCACAAAAATGGAGGATCATTTCAAAGCTCTGGACCACGACAAATCAGACACCACCACATTCGGGAGACTCTGCCCTCTGAGAGGACATACACTGTTTCCTAGTCCAAAGCCCAGTTCTTGTGCCAGCTGCTCCAAAGGTGTTCCCAGGATCAGGAAACAGCATATGTCCTCTCAAAGGGCAGAGTCCCCTGAATGTGGGGGAGGGGTATGGTGTGTAGTGGTCCAAACTTTATTTTGGGGTGCAGAGGACATGCAGCCATTCCAGTTCCTTATTCAAATCTTCTTTGCAATACAGACTTCTTGGTGGTGACCCAAATAGAAGCTCATAGAGCCAAAACCAGTGTTTGGACCCAGCACTACTGTAAGCCTTCTTGCAGGAGGCAGTGTCTGGAGGGTGATGATATGTGATTTGAGGTGGTCCAAAGATTTTTGGGGGGTGCAGTTTGACCCCAATGTGATTCCTGCAAAGAGGTGGGAGTCAGAAACCTCACAGCCCTTGGGAAAACAAAGTTATGTTATATTGTTATTGAACTGTCCACTTGCGTTAAAGTTACAGAGAGTTTCGCAGCATCCTAAGGACAAATATACGTGCACTGGTTAAAACTGATACCAGCATAAATCTGTCTTAGAACAGTCATGAGACTCTCTGTTGATTCTGCTGCAAAAGACTATGGACCAAGACAGATATGGCCAGGGTAAACTGCACATGTTTGTAGCTGTGTTTCAGACCGATACTGTACAGGAAGGGGAGAGGGAACTTAACCCTTTAACCTCTGTCCTGTGATATCTGTGCACAATTTCACTTCTACAGACAGATAGATTTCTGTGACTGTTGTCACATCTGTTTCAGTTCTAAACCAGACTGCTTCCACATGGGGGGCTATTTCCCATTTTGATCTCATTGCTGCTGCAAAGGCATTTGAAGGCAACAAAGCTTCCACTCGGGGGCTTTCCCTGTGCTTTCCCCCTTGCACCTGCCAGGTTTCTGCCCTGGGGAGGCCTGTGTTTAAATGTACACCAAGTCAAGAAACTCTGTAGGCCTGTGTTTGTCACTCTCTCTCCACCTCATCGACCTTACAGAGCTGTTGTGAGGATAAAGCAAAGAAAGAGAGAATGAACCCTTTGGAAGAACGACAGAATACAGATCTCACAGGTGGATGGGAAAGGACTTGTGCACAGAGCTGGCAACTTTTCAACTGACTTCTTTAGCTGGGCCTTCAACAACAGCTTGATATGAAACCCCATTGTTTGTTCTTATGTTGTGAAAAGCACCACCTGCTTCTTTCTGGCACTGAGACCTGCAGTTGTGGACCCATCTACAGAGGCCACTGGAAGAGCTGAAGGGAGAGCTGCTGCCTGAAGGGAAAGAGTCATGTCCTTGCGTCTACCCCCAGAGAAAATGTTCATTGTAGACAAAGAAGCGGAGTAATCATAAAATATTTATGACCTAGGAGGTCAAAGCTCTTTTGAGTTGCATTTAAAGTTACGTTATAAGATTTTTCCTGTTTGCCTGTAAATATCAGCTCTTGTTCTCTTTACGAAACTGATATTCATGGAACAGGAAATGCCATGAAATAATTGGACTCAGCTATTCCTGTACGAGCACAAGTACTTATGTGTCTGGTAAGTGTGACTTTATAAAAATTGAAAGACGTGCAAGAGAAGAAAGAGCCAGGATTTCTTATGCACTGGAAAAGCTAACATAGATGAAGTCATAGCAACTTAATTGCAGTATTGCTTGATATTCTTGGATTTTACTTTGTTTTTTAAACGCTTTAATAGATTTACATTTATTTATTTTTCATTTGTGCAATTTTTAACCTACCCTTACCCGCAAGCAGGCTCAGGGCGGGTTATGGTACAACAGCAAGACATATAAAAACAATTCAATATAATTTAAGTTAAAAATTAGAACCCCAATTTAAACTCCCTGATGGTGAGATGGTAACTTGTCGACCGTAGGGATATAACTGTGTGCAACTACAGAATGGGCCATCGAGATCATGATTGAGCCCAGCCCCCTTCTAATAATACAAGCTGGTATCATAATTAGCCTGGCTGGTTGGGAAAGGGGCTGGTTGGAGCAGGGGAGGTCAGATGTAATGAGACACCCACCGCCTCAGCCAGAAGCCTGGTGAAACATTTTACAGACCCTGTGGAATGGTAATAAATCCCACAGGGCCTTGATCTCAACTGGGAGTGTGTTCCACCAGGCCGGAGCCAGAGCCAAAAAAGCTCTGTCTCTGGTTGAGGTTAGGCGGATGTCCCTTGGGCTGGGGATTACCAGTAGGTGTTGTTTGGCCGAGTGTAAGGCTCTTTGGGGAACATATTGGGAGAGACAGTCCCGTAGATATGTTGGCCCCTGAATGCAAAGGGTTTTAAAGGTTAATACCATAACCTTGAACGGAACCCAGTATACAATTGGCAGCCAATGCAGCTGGCAAAGCACTGGCTGTATGGGTGCCCACACCGATGTCCCAGACAGAAGGTGTGCTTCTGCATTTTTCACCAGCTGAAGTTTCCGAGGCAGATTCAAGGGCAGCCCTGCATAAAGTGAATTGCAGTAATCCAGTCTGGAGGTGACCATTGCATGGATCACCGTAGCCAAGTCACAGGGGGACAAACAAGGAACCAACTGCCTGACCAACTGAAGAAGATAAAAGGCCAATCAGGCAGTAGTTGTGACCTGTGCCTCTACTAAAAAGGAGGCATCCAGAGTCACCCCTAAAATCCTTACTGCTGGTGCAGACACTAAAACTGCCCTGCCATGGGTTGCGAGTTGGATTCCCGAACCCACACCCCCATGTCATAGATGCAGGACCTCTGTCTTCGATGCATTTAGTTTCAGCCAGCTCTGCTGTAACCAACCAGCCACAGCCTCCAAAGCCTTGGCCAAAATATCTGGGGTGGAGTCCGTCTGTCCATCAACAGATACAGCTGGGTGTCATCAGCATAATGGTGACAACCCAGCCCAACCCCCTGGATTAACTGGGCAAGACGTGCATATAGATGTTAAACAACATTGGGGAGAAGATTGCCCCCTGGGGGACACCATATACCAAAGGGTAATGTGGAGACACCCTCTCCCCAAGTGTCCCTCTCTGTCCCCAGCCATGGAGAAAGGAGACCTGCCACAGAAACACTGTCCCACTAATCCCTGTCTTGGCGAGGCAGTTGGCCATCAGGTCATAATCAACTATGTAAAACGCTACTGTCAGGTCAAGCAGCAACTGCAGCGCTGACCCACATCGATCCAGGTGCCTCCAGAGGGTACCCGTGAGGGCAATCATTGCCATCTCCGTCCCATAGCCAGGGCGGAAACCGGACTGGAATGGGTCCAGGATAGAGGTGTCATCCAGAAAAACCTGGAGCTGTTCCGCCACTGCTCTCTCAGCTAATTTACCCAGGAACAGAAGATTTGACAGTGGGTGGTAGTTGGCTAGGACCAAAGGGTCCAGTGATGTTTTTTTCAAGAGTCGTCTCACCACTGCCTCCTTTAAAAACCCTGGGAAGGTCCCTGAAGTCAGGGATGAGTTAATCATCTCCCCCAGTTGTTGTTCAGTTGCACAGTCGAGTCCGACTCTTCGCGACCCCATGGACCAGATCACACCAGGCCCTCCTGTCTTCTGTCATCCTCTGGAGTTTGCTTCATTTCATGTTTGTTGCATTGATAACACTTTCTAACAATCTTATCCTTTGCCGTCCCCTTCTTCTTTTACTTTCAATTTTTCCCAGCATCAGGGTCTTCTCCAGTGAGTGCTCCCTTCTTATTTGATGGCCATAGTATTTGAGCTTCAGCTTCAGTATCTGGCCTTCCAGGGAACAGTCAGGGTTGATTTCTTTTAGGATTGACTGATTTGATCTCAAGAGTCTTCTCCAGCACCATAATTCAAAAGCATCTATTCTTTGGCACTCGGCCTTCCTTATGGTCTAACTCTCGCATTGCTTTGACCATACAGACTTTTGTTGGCAAGGTCTGCTTTTTATTATGCTGTCTAGGTTTGCCATAGCTTTCCTCCCAAGGAGCAGGCGTCTTTTAATTTCATGGCTGCAGATCCCAGGAACATGAATTCTGTCACTGCTTCCATGACATCTCCTTCTGTTTGCCAAGAAGTGATGGGGCTGGATGCCATGATCCCTTTTTTGATTTTTTTTGATGTTGAGTTTCAAGCCAACTTTTGTGCTCTTCTCCTGCAGGGGAGCCCGAATTCTGTCCCTGCTGGCCTTAACTAGCCAGTACAGACACGGGTCAAGAAGGCAAGTGGCAGGCTTCACAGATGCCAGGATTCTGTCGACGCCCTCCTGAAAGAGTTGGCTGAATTGATCCAAGATTGGACCAGAAGACAGTGAAGGGGCATCCAGCTCACTTACTGTTTCAACTGTGGCCAGCAGATCCTGGCGGAGTGACAAGATTTTGTCTGCAAAATAACTCACGGATGCCTCACAGCTAATAGCCAATTCCCGGTTCTTTTGGTTTCAAATATCTGCCAGCATCATCCTTGCTTAGCTCCTAAGATCTGATGAGATCGGGCTTGCCTGTACTGTCCAGGTCAGGGCAACCTCTGTCCAGTTTTGTTAATTTTAAAGAGAAAAAATACAGGTTTTTGAAAGTTTTTAAAACAGAGATATTGGAAAATTCATCTGTCCTGTAATGGGAAATGATGCATACTTACTCCAAAGCAGGAGAGTGTAATATAGGCAGGTGCAAATAAAGTTGCCTTTAATAGCTGAACAGGAGATATAGTTTTAGCTGTTGAGGCTCTCCACATTTCTGCAGGACAAGGTGTATTTGGCCCTTTATGCACACACAGCTTACTGTGGAGAAACAGAGCAGGCAAGCCTTTAAACTTGACTTTGGATTTGCATGCCTGCTGTATGCACCATTCTTTTTTCTCTGGTGTATTTCTGTGTATTTATTCTTCAGCTGCAACCAAAACCTGCAGTTTTTCTTAATGGGGTGGGAACATCACTTGTGACATATGGGGGGGTGGAGGCCAAAAGTTTTGGTGTTGTTTTTTTAAAAAGAAATCGCAGTTGTCCCATCACAGCTGCACAGTAGCATCCAGCAAGCACCTTCGATTTAAATCCTCACAGTTCAGGTTTTTGCATGCATTTTAGCCTCAGTTTGTTGAATGAAAGGGAACAGAGAAGAACCTAGACAAATGGGGGAAACTAACTGTTGAAACTGATGAGACTTTTTCTGCAACTGACAAGCAGCTGTGAAGCCCCCTTTTCCATATTGGTGTATACTATGGGATTTACTGCTGTGTTGTCAGCCACTGTGAAAAAAATTGAAAGATGAAAGAGTCACAGGGTCTCCTAATATGGAGGAATTTTGAACAAAGAGCAGCAGGCTCTTGCATGTTGCCCTGTATAGTAAGATGGTTAACCAGGAGGCATTTCCCCTGTTTCTGCATGCATGGAGGAAGAGCAGCAGCAGGCAGGCAGATGGGCAGGTGGGCAGCTGGCACCAGACCCCCGCTGCTGGAGGAGCCATGGAGGGTGCTTCCTTCAGAGCCAGCTGTGCTGGTGGGGCACTGGACCAATCAAGTTCCTCTGATGGCCCAAGACTGTCCTCTGCCTTCTGTTGCTGCTGCTGCTGCCTCCTCCTCCTCCACCGGCAACTTGTGAACAGCCTCACTGCCACTTTCTCTGCTCACTCCCAAGCCACCTCCCAGGCTGGGTTGGGCACCCCCTCTCCTTGCTACCACTTGGGCCAGCCAAGGCAGCTCACAGAACCAATCGGTGGGGGGGGGGGCTGCGGTGGGCTGTGCTACCCTGGGCAGGAACACACAATCAAACTTTGTTGCTCCATTGCATTGAACCCACACAGAAAGCACCTGAAAGCCTGCCAATCTAACCAAATTAAAATATAATTAAATAATTTATACAAGGAGACATTAAAACAGTGCTCCTTCTCTGTAAACACTGTAGCCACATCTGACTTCTGGATTAGATTGGACAAAGATCTTTCCTAATTAAATTGTAAATCCCATTTGGAAGATGATTGGCTTGTTGGTGTTACCATCTACGTAGGCTGCGACTGACCTACTTGTATTCTAAGTTAAGTGTGCGGGATTTCTAAATTCAGCAGGGCATAGACTTTTTAAAAATTAATGGAGATATAAACAAAAATAATGGACAGCTGGAACCTGAATTCAGGAACTTGGCTATTTCTACTGCAGTAGATAGATATCACCGCGAGAGAGTACCAGAAAAACATCTACTTCTGCTTCATTGACTATGCTAAAGCCTTTGACTGTGTGGATCACAACAAACTATGGCAGATCCTTAAAGAGATGGGAGTACCAGACCACCTCACATGTCTCTTGAGAAACCTGTATAAGGGTCAAGAAGCAACAGTTAGAACCGGATATGGAACAACTGATTGGTTTAGCATAGGAAAAGGAGTACGACAAGGATGTATATTGTCACATTGCTTATTTAATATATATGCAGAGTACATCATGCGAAATGCTGGCCTGGATGAATCACAAGCGGGAATTAAGATTGCTGGGGAAAAGATCAACAACCTCAGATATGCAGACGATACCACTCTAATGGCAGAAAGTGAAGAGGACCTAAAGAGCCTCTTAATCAGGGAAAAAGAGGAGAGCGCAAAAGTGGGCTTGAAGCTCAACATCAAAAAAACTAAGATCATGGCATCCGGTCCCATCACTCCTTGGCAAATAGAAGGGGAAGTCGTGGAAGTAGTGACAGACTTCACGTTCCTGGGATCCCAAATCACCGCAGACTGTGACTGCAGCCATGAAATTAAAAGACTCCTGCTCCTTGGGAGGAAAGCGGCGAACCTAAACGCATGATAAAAAGTAGAGACATCACCCTGCCAACAAAAATACGCATGGTCCAAGCAATGGTATTCCCAGTAGTCATGTATGGCTGCGAGAGTTGGACTATAAGGAAGGCCGAGCGCCGAAGAATAGATTCTTTTGAACTAGGGTGCTGGAGAAGACTCTTGAGAGTCCCTTGGACTGCAAGAAGATCAAATCAGTCAATCCTAAAAGAAATCAACCCTGACTGTTCCCTGGAAGGCCAGATAATAAAAATGAAGCTCAAATACTTTGGCCACCAAATGAGAAGGGAGCACTCACTGGAGAAGACCCTGATGCTGGGAAAGATTGAAGGTCAAAGAAGACGGGGACGGCAAAGGATGAGATGGTTGGACAGTGTCATCGATGCAACGAACATGAAACTGAGCAAACTTCAGAGGACAGCGGAAGACAGGAGGGCCTGGCGGGATCTAGTCCATGGGGTCGCGAAGAGTCGGACTCGACTGTGCGACTGAACAACAACAAGATATTGTTATGTTTTTAAGGATATTAAATTTGGAACCTAGCAAAGCATTGTACCTGAATAAATCTAACCACTTCTCAAAATTCTACCACACGTTAGTGTGATCAGAAACTATGCTCAGGTTAAAATTATGAAGACAGGAACATGTTGACTTACAAACTATACTATAATGATAACTTACTACAATTATATATCTATTTTAAAAATAGCTGGCAAAAAACATAGCAGAGTGGGGTGGGGCAGTGGGTGTGAGGGAAAATGTCACTGGATGTGAGTGAAAAAAGTGCAGAAGCCCACACCTTCCCATCCACACTTTTCTCAAACTGATGTTGAGTAGGTACCAAAGCAGGTTGAGAAAATGTGCACCAAACCTGGGAAAAACCTGGAAGGTGCATGGCCACATAAGAATGCCATGTGGAAGCCCCCCACATGCTGAACTGCTGCAGTTGTGGGGGGGGGCACTGTGGGGAAGCAACCTAAGCTTATACAGAAATGGTCCCACTTATTTGCACAGTGGTTCCAGTTCTGTCATAAGTGCAAAGAAGTAACTCCTAAGTGGAAGAGGTGAACCAAGTAGCCCCTGCTAGAGGTAAGACGACGGAACTCTTCCAAACATGGCTTTGAACGGTAGAACGGTTTAAGAAATATTCCTCGATGAGATTGTAGGCCCGTATCTCATTGGGCATATAAAGAATGTGTGTTATCTGCAGCAGGTCACTGAAAAAAGCAGAATACGTACCGCTTCAACAGACAGACAGCGGGGTACTAGTCCTGTCAAAATCTACACATAAAATTGATGTGTTCAGAAGAAAGCTTCTAACTCTGTCTCAGCCATCTCCTGCAATGGCCAGTATCCTTTTACTCCTCCTGAGCAAAACTGGAAACCTTTCTCCAGCTTACCGAAAGAGCCTTCTTTCAACTTCAGCAGCTCTTCCACCTGTGAAAGAGCTGCTGAAGTTGTAGGAAGGTTTCCAACTTCCTA